AATCCGCAGACTGGTGCCGCCAAGCGGGTGGTCATTCAGAACGGCGGCGTGGAGAAGCAGGTTGAGATTGTTGCTGACGGCTACCTGGACCGTGGGAACGTGGTGACCGGACAAATCGACCTGCTGATCGAAGAGTTGCAGGCCCTCAGCCTGCGGCTGACAAACGAAAACTTCAAAGACGAGATCGCGCAGCAGGCGGAACACACCAAACGCACGAAGCCGGCCAGTCGCGCGATTCTCGCGCACCAGCAGCGGCTGCAGATGGTGCAGGCCCTCCAGCGGAAAGTGAATGCTGCGTTTCCCTACGGGGGGAAGGAGCACCCGTACCCCGCAATCCTGAACTTCGAAGGGCCAGAGGAGGCCGGCGTGTCCAGACTGCGGTCCGTCGGGGAGTTGCCGGCCATCACGACGCTTCTCGGCGAACACCTGCTGCAAAGCGGCCTGTTTGAGTCGTTCGAAACGTTTCGGCAAGAGGTGGAGCGCCAGGTTCACGACTCGTTTGCCGAGGACGGGGAAAACTACCGGCACAGCTTGGCTTTCGGTGCGGAGGAATCGGGAGAAAAGGATAAGAACGGCGACACTACTTACGAGGGAGCCGGTGGACAGCGGCAGCATGGAACACAAGAAGAGCAGGCACAGGAGAATTATAGGAATGACATTTACGGAAATTATGACGAAGATTACGACGAGGAAGAGGTCTGGAACGAAGATTCCACTACACGACAAAAACCGGCAGATCAAATCGATGAATTTCATTTTCTGTTCACCAACCCCTCGTCTTTCCAGCGGTTTTTTCAAGCGCACGAATCCGGACCGGGAGGCGGTTTTTTTGCGGGCTACGGCAATGCGGTCTTCGCGGTTGAGGAGGACGAGGGTGGCGACGCCGTGCGCTGCAGCAGCGTGGGCGACGTGATTTCCGCGTCCTGGGCCTTCGCACTGAAGACGCTGAAGGAGCTGTGCAAGTGCTGCGACCTCCATCCTGATGTTTTGGATTCATCATCCTCGGCCGCGACAGGCAAAAATGACGAGCGACAGGAGCATTTATTCGGTTCGAAGAAGCTGGATCCATTGTTCCGGTATCTGGCCCACGTGAAGCACCAGTTTCAGACAAGCCTGAACATTTTGGGCGAAGTGGTCTGGAGCGAAAACTGCTGGGCCAGCGTAGCGCACGAGGGGCATCTGCTGTCCTGTTTCGAGTTCGAGCTGTTAGTCTGCAAGTACATGCAGATGCTGTTGTCTTGCTTTGCAAGAACATCAAACACGGGCTCTTCAACCTCTACTGCGTCTCTCAGCACACAGAGGCTCGAGGCGTTTCAGTTCGCGCAGAAAAGCTTCGCGCCCTTCCTGAAATGCCGCGGACAGGAGGTGGGGCGGTTGCTGACGCTTTCGACGCTGCAAGCGAATGGGGAGGTACTGTTGAAGAGAACACTTCAAAAGCGCCTCACTGTGCTGAGGAATTTGCTGAGAAAGGTTTTTTTCCTGACCACCGAAGTGCCGGCTTTGTCCCAAGAGCAGCTTGTGAACTATGATGAGATGGTGGAGCTTCATTATGACGTTTTGGTGAAATCGGGTATCAAAATTTCACCCGACAACACCTTCAAGCGCACGGCGCAGCCAGGCACCGGAAACACAGCGGCGCAACTAGGAAGACACAAAAATCGCAATGGTCGTGACCTCCAGAAGAGTTCATCTTCTTTCCTCGCCTCCGCTTCCGGTGGAGCAGACAACGGAACGGGCTCCGCACGCTCTCCCGGAGGTGGCCACGGCTACAACAGTCGTCAGGGGCATCAACCCGCCCAGGGAGAGATGTGGCCACCGAGTTTAAAGCGTAGGCGCAGCACGGACGAAGATGCTGTCGACCACCAGCACCACGCGTGGCCGTCGCAGGTGGAACCGAGGTCGCTCCTGCCACCGACCAGACCTATGTTTCCGGACATAACCCCCTTTCCGCTACTCGTGCCAGCCAGCGACGACTACTACGACGTGTTGAACGTCAGAGACGAAGACGACGACGATGACACCGATAGCACATCGAGCACAGACCAACGGGCAGCGGACGACAAGAATGTCGCAGAGGAAGCCCTTTCTTCTCGCTGCGAAGTGAACCCGGAATGGATCGACATCGACTATGCCAGACATGTCGCTGCGGTCGAAAGGATTTTGACGGAAGATGAACCGCTGGAGCAGGGTTGTGCCAATGGTGCGGCCACCGGTTCAGAAGTACTAGAGGAAAACTACAGTCCGCCGGGCTTGGGACCAGCACGTCATCAGCTCCGGCGTCCGTACAATTCCGCCTCCATGAATCTTCACGCCAGAGCCTTGCCAGCGTATCTGCAGGACGAAGAGGAAGATGCGTTTTTCACACGAAATCTGAACCTGAGCGGAGTTGCGCCGCCTAGCGTCGAGCCGCCATACTGGGGGCCCGGTGGGCGTGCGTGCTTGGCTCATTACTGGGCAGCGCCGCCGTCTTCGCAACATAGAACGACCTCGGGCCTTGCGCTAGATTATGACGAGTATGATGAGCCAGCCGACGACGATAGTAACTCGAGCTTCAGCGTAGTTGACAGTTCGGCGGAGCGGTCTCCGCACGAGGGGGTCATGCAAGAAGACACCGCAACATCCTATTTGTCCAACACAGAGTTTTTCCCCCAGCAAGGTCTTGTTCCCGACGTGCAACTGGCATCCTACTACCTCTGGGCGCGGGCGGACGCTGGGCTTGAGCGAGACCATTCCCCGCTCCGCAGTCCGCGTCGGAACCGCTCCGGATCGGTCTCCTCGGTATCCAGTGCGCCGTCTAGGGGAGTACGTCCGCGGAGAAATCGACGGAGAAGTCGGTCAGCGACGCGGCGAAGGCGAAGCGAGTCTGTTGAGTCCGTGGAGGGGAACAAGGAGGTGCCACTATACTTTTCATGCAGTCGTGGAGGTCATCCTCATCTTCTCTGCAGCTGCACTTTATGTATGATTCTTTGAAGACATACACATAGTTATTGACTTGAACTCCTACAGTAGTTTTCTAGGGCTACTGCAATGAAAATATAAAACATCAGAGCAAAGAAAGTAAAATTGAAATCCACCAATCGCAGGACGTCGAGATGGTAGATTCCCGCGACGCGAGCGCTGCGCGCAAATCCGCCGAGGTGATGCACGCGCAGGCGGAAGCGATTTCGTACCTCGTCCGGGAGGCCCACTACGAAAAAAAAGACAATGCGGCCAGAGCGGCGCGCCCGCGCGGGATTTTCCAAAGCTTCGGGGCGAATCTGAATCGGAACGCGCAGCTTTTTCCGCGGTACAATCCCCTGTCCGCAGCCTACGCCGGTTCCACTCTGGACGATCCCACGAGTCCGGGTGGTGACAAATCGTTCGGGAGAGCAGGAGGAGAAGATTTGTCAGAAGTTTTCACCACCGTTTCGCTGAAGCACCGAAGGGAACTGCGGCCCACCTCCCGGACGATGCAATCATGGCACAGAGGCCCCGGAGCAAGACGTAAAATTGCTTCTGACCATGCCGCAGCGGAGATGAATTATTCCAAAGGGAAGGGCCCGCTGAATAAAGCAGCGCACCATCCGAAAGCGGACGCAACATCAGTTCTGACACAGGAACAACAAGCCTTTTATGAGCCACCGGAGGAAGACGCGTTGTTGAACCTATGAAAGTGCACAACTCCCCCTCCGCCTCATTTGTATAGCATGAACGGCAATACAAGCGTCAGCCAGAGTGCCGGTTTTGCATGACAGATTATTTACACTGGAGAGTAGTGCTATTTGGGCTGCCAGAACTTGTCATGCAAACAGTGCCACATGACAGCGACTAGATTCGGGGTTTTGCATGACAAACGAGGGGGAGGGGGAGTTGTGCACTGCTATAGAACCCGAGCAGTCACTACCTGATGCTGGTGAGCAGACCCCATCTGCGGATGCAGCAGATGTCGCAGAAATCGCTGCTGTCGGTCATTCTGGACGCGGGCCAGCAGGCCCTGCCGAAGATTCTGGAGTACCACCAGTGGTGCGTGGACCAGGACAAGGGTCTCTCCACGGGCAACTGGTCGCTGACCACGGCCGTTGTCGGCGACACGCTGCCGGTCACCCTGGATTCGCCTCCGGAATTCGCCTACGCCAGCAACTTCGTTTGTCCGGTTATGCAAGAGAAAAACTGTGTAAGTGTAAATCTGTAATGCAGAACACGCAACAGATTTACACCTGTCATGCCAGACAGCCACGAAGTTCTCTTTTCATGTGTGTTTTCCCTTACAAGCCACGCATGACAGGTTTTCTCTGTCATGTAGAGCAAATTTGTGATGCTGTCAGCCAATGATACTTACACTAACACAGTTTTTTTCTTGGATAGCGGTCAACCGTTCGCTGACCAGAACTCCCTACCTCCTCGCGTGCGGCCACGTCCTGTCCAGGGAGTGCGTGGACCGTCTGAGCAGAAACGCGCGCGCCTCCTTCAAGTGCCCCTTCTGCCCGCGCCAGCAGAACTCCGCGGCCGCCCTGCCCATCAAATTTGCGCAGAACTATTGAGAAGCCATTGATGCGCCGGGTAGGAGGAAGTGAGGACGAGATGACATGAGACTCTTCTCTACAGAGGCACTGCTGCCACACGATGTTTATTTTCCACCTGGATGAACAACAGTTCGTTCTTCTTTTCGACTCGAACATGAAGCACGGCCACAGACTAGTACACTCGGACTGCCTTCTTCGTGAAGTAAGTACAAATCTTCACAGTGCTCGATAAATTCGGCGCTCCTTTGGAATTCAACCTTTATCCTGGTTCTGAAAAGTTTCTGCGATCGTACATGAAGTTCATAGTTCAATCGCGAGCGCTTACACGCAAAATCGAAGAAGCCTACCGATACAAATGTGAAATGCTCGTATAATTTTACCCGTCAGATCACTCTAGCGCTTTTCCTTTTTGAGAGTTTTAATGCGAAATTGAAGATCTTCCTCTTCATCTCTGAGAAAGGTTCACATTTGGCGGTATTTGCAAGCAGTCATCCAATTCTGCGTTCATCATGGCGGCTGTTTTTTTTTTGGATTTAGATAGTCAGTCTCAGTAAACATCATTTTTTTCGCTTGTCCGACTAAGGAAGAGACGCACTCAACGCAGTGACTTGGTTTCGCAGTTTATTCGTCCAAGTACTACTGTTGAAAATGGAGTTAGTAGTAGACCACAGTGTTTTTGCAAAACTTATGCAAAGTCTTACACATCAGCGTTTTTCTACTACCGCTAGATTCATGAGCCATGTGGACTGACGTTCTGTCAGACGACTCCTCGTGGAAAAAGTGGCGCGCGAACTCGAAAGAACGAAAGCAGGAGCATACGACAAGAGACGGACATTCAACGAGCGAAGTGCGGCCGCAGGAACAGGAGCACGATAATTTCAGCAAAAATTCGCATCCGGTTATTGCGGACGCCTCGGGCAGTGCCTCAGCGACAACTGCGACTCTCGGCGGCGACGAGTGTGGACAAGCTACTCTCGGACAAGAAGCAACATCCTCTTTTTCCATACCAGCTGGGCTGCCAGTACAAAGCCGGATGAACAACCTGGACCATTCGTCAAACATGACAGCAGATCAGGGCAACAAGAGCCAGCCTTCGTGCCGGGACACCAGCATGGCTTCTCCAGCGACGCCCACGCTGGGGTCTAGTGGCAAACAACCGAAGAACTACACCAGGGATCACCAAAACGTTGGCGCGAATGGTGCGGAGGAGAATCCTACTCTCCGCCAAGCTGGATACAGTGAGAGGCATCCGCAGACCGTTTCGTCTGCCTCCGCGTCTTCGTCAAGATCCGGCACCACTGTGGTCCCCCACACGGCATCTTCAAAAACCGCTCGTCCAGGCACTTATTGTTCCTACACCCGTCCCATGCCTGATTCCGTGTGGAGCACCGCCTCCAGTTCAACGCGAGACTCCCGCGCCACGGTTTCGTCCAGCAGTAACGCTGGTGGCTGGGAGGAGGAGCGACCACATTGGCCACAAGAACCGGAAATACGAAATTGTGAGATGGATGATCATGAGAAGCCTCCTTTGGAGATGCAAATGCAATCGCAGCCGCCGGCTGGACCGACGACGCCGGACGAAGACTCCATGTGTTGCGAAGACGCAGAGGAGGTTTTGGAGGGAATAAACGACCAGCAGGCTGCGATTGTGGAGGACCTCGTAGACGTCGATTATGACAACAAGGCGGTGATCGAGCGGCAACCTGTAGGAGTACAACAAACAGGTCACGATCGAAATACGGCTTGTTTAGACCCAGGAGCTCAACCTCGTGAGCAAATAGAAATCCGACATATAGCACCAGCTGCGACCACCGGGACATCAATAAGCTACGGAAGTACAATAAAGAGCGACGCGAGTATATCGTAAGGAAAAATCCCCCCTCCCCATATCAAAACGATGTTTCTGATGCTGGATTTGTGTACACGAATCAGATTTGTCGTGCTGGCGAGGACTGCAGGCCCATATCAAGCCTCAGTAGACAGGTTTTGGCCTAGGCGATTAGCTAGACAGACGTCTACGCTGTAGGAGCAACAGCATGACAAACCGCCTATAGAATGTGGCGGAGCCTGTAGATTTGCCTTCATGCAATACAGCGACGATTTGTGGTCTCAAATCAGCATCACAAATTTTCAGAAGTATCCCGGTTTGGTATGGGGAGGGGGGATTTTTCCTCACAATAGAGTACTATTCGGGATGTGGATTCCAC